ACATTCATGGTTCTCACATTCCATGTCCCAATCACCAGTGTCTGCTTACAACTGTTCCTCTTCCTTTGTATTTCCATACTTGAAAACTCAACCTCCTTTGCCATTTCTGTTTTCTAAATGTGATCTGTTGTACTATGTACAACATGTACAACAGTTCATTAATAGAGTCAAATTTTTATTAGTGTTCAAATGTGATTTCAAAACATCTTGGTAGGGAAGCAATAAACTTAATGTCATTTGATACCTAATTACGTATAACTCCCAAAATTTAAAAAAAACCTCACACATCAGCTCCTTAACATAGTTAAGACAATATTAACCAAGTTATTTGTGTGCACAGAGAGCAAATAAGTTGAAGTTAAACATGTAGAACCATTCTAAATTTTTAAGGGGTTACAGAAGTTGAAGTGAAGAATTTAATCAAAAGTCACTAAAATGTGAAAGGAGAGAGTTTTAAGTCTAATCTTACATTCTTTTCTTACCAACTATCTGGAAACTAGGGAGGTCTGGTAGTTTAGTGGAAAGGAGTTACACTGACAACTCAAAGGCATAAGGTTCAAATCCATCAAGTTTCTCCATGGGATAAGGTGGGAGGCAAAGATGATAAAAGCTTTGTTTCACATACTTTGGGCATGTTGTTAGGAAAGAGTATTCCTGTGAGAGGGACATCAAACTTGGAAATGTTGGCAAAAAAGAAGCAGACTCTCAACCAGATGGATTGACACAGTGAATGCTGCAATGAGTTCTGAGCTCTAGTGTGTCAGGAAGTGTGAGGGTGGTGCAGGCTAAGAGTTCAGATCTACTGTTCACAGGGTCACTATCAGTTATACTCAACAGCACCTAACAATACCCCACCACAAATCCCTCACAGGAAGATCAGCTATGAATCAGTTCTGACTCAATGGTCCCTAACAACAACATGAAGACCATTACTAAGTATTTAAAAAAATAGTTGAGGTCCAACATTGTAAAGTACCTTCTGAATGAATAAATTTCTAAAATATGAAAATATAGAGTTGATTTAAAGATTAATATACAGGAACAGAATAGCAAATTTTTAGCATGAAGCAGATGTTCAATGATTGCTGACTGAATGTATAACATAATATTTAATTAACCAAACATGCTCAATTGGCTAAACCTTTCCAAAAGAAAAATGGTTATTTCACATGAAAAAATAAATTATCACAGACCTTAAGTTATTCTTACTAACAGACACTGGCCTTTATAATAAATTACAAGTCTTAATATATGTGTGTCTTATACATCAACAAATTAAAAATTACTGTTTGAGATTAATGGTTCAGTAAGACTGTTCAAAGGAGACTTCCTATCAAAATCCCCCAAACATTCAAGAGGGATTATTTTACAGATAAATTTAGAAACAGAATGTTGTTAGATGCCTTCAAATAAGAACCCACTCATAGGTGTAAATTGTATGGTAGGAGACTGCTCATCTTTGTCCTATGGAGTGGCCAGTCTGAACAGCCACTGGTAGTTAGGCTGATAGAACAACTCCTTTCCAACAGGCCACCAGAGACTTAAGATTGTTAACAGCTTTAGTTTGCTTGGCTCCACAGCCAACACTCTGGGCACGAGCAGCCAGGAAATTAAAATTAAAAGACATATTACGATGGGAAAAATCCGCTGTTAGAAACAATGGTGCCACCCTGGAGACTAAGGTGCGCCTGATAGAGGCCATGGTCTTTGCAATCACTTGCTATGCATCAGAGAGCTGAAAAATGACTAGGGAGGATAGGAGAATTGAAGAGTATTGAATATACCATAGACTGCTAAGAAAACAGGTTCATCCTGAAAAAGTTTAAACCAGGCTGCTCCCTGGAGATAAAGATTCTGAAGCTTTGTCTCACTTTGGACATGCTACAAGGAGGGACCAGTCCTTGAAGAAGGACGTCACACTTGGGAGGATAGAGGGACAGTGTAGGAGAGGAAGACCCTCCATGAGATGGATTGATTAAGTGATAGAGGTAATGTGGGTAGGTGTGTCAGAGACAGTGAGACTGGCACAGAACGGGGCAAGGTTTAGGGCTATTGTACACCGTGTCGCTATGAGTCGCAGGTGACTTGACACAGAGCTCATATGCTAACATTACAGATTCTTATGACTTTATTCTCTGCTTGCCTAACAGCTATCTTAAATCTTATTTCCACATTGATTATCATCAATCCCTTAAGTCTTTTTATTGTTGTTGTTGTTATTTGCCAGAGTTGTATACATATGCATAGAAGAAAGACCTGTCAATACTGTCATTCAAATATATGCACTAAAACCTAGATCTACAAAGGAGGAAATATATGATTTCTACCACATTTGCAGTTGGAAATGGATTAATACACAACCAAGATTTATTAATAATAACTGGTGACTGGAATGCGAAAGCTGGGAACATGGAAGAAAGATTAGTTGAAAAATATGGATTTGGTAACAGTAACAGAAATGAGGCTGGAGATACAATGACAGAATTTTGTATAGAAAATGATTTATTCGTTGCAATACCTTCTATAAAAAACAAATAGTGACTATACTCATGGACGACATCTTATGGAACATAGGAACTAGATTGATTACATCTGTGAAAGAATCATTGGAGATGCTCAATATTAGCTGTGAAAACTAGGCCATAAATTACTCATGTTCAAGTCTGACTGAAGCTAAAGAAAATGAAAACAAATCTTCAAGAACCAAAATTTGGCCATGACTCGATCCCAACTGAACTTAAAAACCATCTCAAGTACAGGTTTGAGGCAACGGACACTAACAAACAAAGACAATATTAGCTGTGCAAGGATATCAAGAATATTATCCATGAAGAACAAAGACAGACAAGGAAGAAAAGATTGAGACGGTTGCCAGAGGAGACTCTGAATATTGTAATAGACTATGCAAAGGCATTTGACTGTGTGGATCACAACAAACTGCGGCTAACCCTGAGGTCAACGAGAATCTAGGAACACCTGATTGTGCTCATGCAAAATCTATACTTGGATCAGTAAGCAGTTGTCTGAACAGAACAAAAAATACTGCATGGAAATCTCATTATTAGCATCTCTTATTAGGAAATGGTAGTCACTACGCTCAGAGTGGCAATCAGAAATTTTTATAAAATATTGGCCTTGTAGGCATTAAAGCCTTATTTTTTTTTTCCCTCAACAATCCTGTTTTTCAAACTATTTAGATAACCGGGAATTTACCACTTAACTAAAAAGATAAAAATATCATACAGAGAAAACAAACTATGTTTAACAGTTTAAAAATGCCATGTATGCACAAATGGAAGTAAAATTTTGTTTAAAAAATTATCTGACTGTAGAGAGTATGGAGTCTACTCTCTTTAATTTGAATTTAATAATTTAACATGAAATGGCCTCAATCAAGAGCAGTTTGTGGATATATACAAAGATTTTAAAAGAACATATTTCAAGACACAGGTGAGGATGAAATTCTCTGGAAAACTTAAAACAACTCTTAAGGGAGCTCTGATGGTCTAGTGGCAGGAAGCTGCACTACAATCCCAGAGATGTGTGGTTCGAATCCATTAGACGCCCTATTGGAGAAGGAGGGACAATTTCCTCCTGTACCAGTGAGATCCAATTTGATGGTACACACGCACAAAATAGTAAAATAAAAAACAAACAAAAAAAACCCCCCAAACACATTGCCAATGAGTCAGTTTCCTAGGCTGTGACTTGACCACCAGAGGAGACTATGTCCATCTTGTTCCCTCAGAGCCACAGATGAATGTGAACTGTCAAGAGACACACATCCTTGAACTTATCAGTGCAGAATACTACTGACGTCTCCCAGTCAGAGGCCCCAGAAAACTGTTAAAGGGCTGGGAAAACACTAATGGTTACAAATACAAATGATTACTCATTTCT